GAACACGATAACCCGGTATTTGCTTGGTGCTCGGACGAGGGTATATGCTACAGTAGTGTATAGCGCAGCTGACCTTTTTTTTATCAGACATTCCGCAGGCTTATCTTGCCTTGGCCTTTCCCAAGTCTGTCAAAGCCGAAAATCAGCACTTTTTCCTCGGACTCGCGTGGACTAGGATATATACCAGCCAACAAAACATTGACTTTCAATTAATTCGCTCGGCTAGAATAGAATGTTTACGAGCGAATAAATTAAACCGGCTGCGGGTCGTGCTCGGCATAAAACGAATCGCAAAGTTGTGACAAGTAAATAACAACAACAGCAACAACACAAGCTCGGCTCTCGAGTGACGACAAGCAGCAGCGACGGCGGCGCATGAATTTCGCTCGCGCGCAATAAATCAAAGCATCAATTGAAAACTCGGCGTTGGCGAAGGCGCGCGCGCGTAAGCTTTTGGCTCGCAATAACACTTGAGAAAAGCCGTGCGCGCCGCTGTTACTGTGCAGCAGCAGCGCGGCAGCTCTATATTTCGCTCGCTCACTCACTCGTTCTCTCTCTCGCCCATCCAAATAAATCATGGCATCTGTCACATGGCATCATATAATTCCGCAATTCGCGAAACGTCTCTGCTTGTCTCAAATTCATTAAACACGAGCGCATACAGCAGCAGGATATACGTAGTGTATAGCGAGCGAGCGGGTGCGTGTATATCGGAACTTTGGAGCATTGCACGTGCTCGGCTCCTGTCTTTCTCTCTCTATACATTGTGTATACATATAGGAATAGACGGAACGAGTACACGGAACGAGCGATAAGTACGATAATGAAGATTTTGTTCCTTTTTGTCGTGGCGGAGCTGCGAAGATCCTCGATGCCCGTGTTACACACGCGGAGCGATCTTCGGCGTTGTCGAGCTTTACACGCCGCACGCAGCATCGTTACCGTCACGCGCGTTCTTGGCTATAAGATTAATTTCGTCGCCTCTCTCTCTCTTGCTCACTTGCTCTCTTGGTGTGTGTATGTGGTGCGCTACAGTCTCGTGTACGTAACGCACAGACTGGGGCTAACGGGCGAGCCCAGAGATATACGCATATCCTATCGCGTGTGAGACATCGAGGGTGACTAGGCTCTTCTTCCTCTCTTGCTCTCAGCTCGTAGCTTTATACGCTTGTACATACGCGTACACATACACACACACACACACTTTGTCTGGCTGCTAGCTCTCGCACTGCCATGGAAAAGGACGAGGCAGATGCAGCAGCAGTAGCAGAGGCAACTACTAGCTAGTAGCTATCTACTACACGCAGGGATTAATTGACACATCGAGGCTTCGCGCGCCGAGTGACTGATGACCTGCGACGACTACGACCACCCGGAAACGATGCCAGAGGCGCCCTTCTGCCGGAAAAACGAGGCCTTTTTTGCACCGGATCGCTCCGTACACGAACATGTACGTAGCAGCGCGTCTATATAGCCTGCGCGCGTATATAGGAACGCGCGAGTAGTTTGTGCGCTCACGGGTCTTTTGCTCCTTCGACGTTCAAGACGTTAAGTATTATACTCTGTAGTAGGCTGCTGGCCTAGGGAGCAAATAACGAGCTTTGCAACGGAGGAGCGCCCACGCAGCAGCCAGAGATAGAGTGACTTGATTAGATGGCCGCGCGCTTGTGTGTATCAGCTCCGACTGGCCAAAAAGTATTAAACTGCTACGCGCGAGTGATATGAACACACACGAGCTGCCAGCTCGTATAATCATCCGCTGGGCATTTCTAGCAGCGGTATACGCTGATGCGAGTTTGATACTAGCCGAAGAGGCAAGAGGCCGCAGATGCCGGCCGCTTCGCTCGGATGATGATAATTTTCCTACCGAATTGTTTAATGTGAATGAAGCTCGACGCCTGCAGAACTGGTGTCTTTAATCAGTGGAGCTTTAGACAGTAAGTAGCGCGTCGATAAGGACCCAAGTACTTCTTGACTCTTGAAATTGAACGGAGAAAGAAAAACAACAACAGAGCGGAGAAACGAGTCGATGAAAAATTATTGTTGCCCCCTGAGCCAGGCTAGGGCGAGATCGTCAGCGACATCGGCGTTAATTTGCGGTAAAAACGATTAGTCGGCAGATGCTTAATGTAACGTAAAAGAGTCGCGTGCTCCGACGTGTAACTATACACAGTGTAGTCGTCGTCCTCTTTGCGACTGCTGCGCACGTATTTATATCTATATGGCTGTGTTGCACGCGCCTCGACGTTTCGCGCGTCGTTTCGCCAGTGACTTATGACTCGGCACTCAATTTACACGGATGATTCGAGCTCTCTCTCTCTCTCTCTCTCTAACCTTTGGCCTGATCGCGACGCCTACAAACGCTTAATCTTAACCGGATTTGTGTATTATGCGTTTGCGTATGTGTTCGTGTCTCTTTTTGTCCGTGTGTGCGTGGGTGTTACGATTGCCGTGCAGAGATCTCGGGCTCGCGCGCAGCAGCAGCAGCTCTCGACCCTCGTGCCCCATAAAGTTAGCCCCCAGAGAGAGAGAAAATAGCGGAGCGAGCCTCCGCGCGCAGATATACATGTACATACCTCCCTGATACGTGTAGGTATTGAGAATCGGTGCGTTTTACTGCTTGTGCCACAGCTCTCTACATAGGTATAGCCGCACACACTCACTTACACACACACACACATAAGAGCTCCGAGCTGGAGTATCCGCGGCTACGAGGCGAGCACACGCGTATAGATTTATGGCAGCGGCCCCGATAGCTCGGGCAATAGCCAACAAGTTGCCGGAAAACGATCGACGCGAGCCATATACCCCGTCCTACATGTACCCATATACGATAATACGTGCGCGAATATAAGCGCTATATGCTTGAGAGAGAGAAAGCTCGTGCCAATATGTGCCTCCGTGTATGAGCGGTGTCGTCGATATTTCTATAAATGTAATCCTTATGTACTAGGTACTTTGCTCCGATCGGCTTTTCTGCTTGTATGGGAAGTGCACGCCGACGTCGAGTGGACGATTATTTTCTTTATACGTCCTTGTTACACGATAAAAATTTGGAATCGATGAGTGTCGATAACGCGAGGCTAATTCGACCATTGATTATTTCGCTACATCAATAATTCTTGGCGAGAAATAGTTATCATTCAATTTTTCGCTTGCCTCGAGACACGAAAGTATTGATGTACTTTTAATCGTCGCAGCTAATCTCACGAATCATCAACAAAGCCATAACTACAGTCGTCTTTTTTCACAGTTATTAAAAAGTTTTAATCTCCCAAACATGGAAATAATTATATTTGAATAAAAATTTAGTTTGACAACAAAGAACACGAGTAAATGATAACTTTTAATTTGAGGTAACGATGTTTTAAAATCACGCAAATGATAACTAATTTTTTTCCTTTAAAAATTTCTATGAATGTGCACCGCTTTTTTGTGAACAATACTTTGAGAAACAAATGATTAATTTGAACTACATAAAAGCATCTTATTGGACGAATACATTAAAATTTGCGGTTCGCGCTAAAGTTCTGAAGTACATTATTTTTATGCTTCTTACTCGAAAACCGAAAGATGCGAGTATTAATTTAGATTTAAAAAACTAGTTTCAAGAGAGCAACACACGCGGCGAGCGATACACTTCTTCTCGCTTGCATGATGAATGAGTTTGATTGATCATACTAAACGCCAAAATTGGCTAATTATTCTTGAGAATGTATCTTTACGGAAAGTGACAGTTGATATTTAATCAAAGGCGTATATTCGTCTATCGAGTATATGGACGCGTACACCGATCAAGTGTCCGTCGGAAGCACTCGACAAAATTAAAAATTATAACTTCAAAGTCATCGTTCCGATCGGCCGCTTTTTTTTCACTATCTGATCATTAATTAAGCGCGCGGCATCGTATTCAAATATATACCGATAGCATATATGTGTGAGTTGTCTTTCACGCGCGACCACCCATTATCGTCGCGGTGGTTTTTATTTCTGATTTTGACTGATACCTCCGATTTCGTGCTACGAATCAGTGGAAAAATGACGTTGTGCATATATCGCGTTTCTATAAAGTACAGCTACCATAATATCCGCGCGTGGAACATGTCATGGTCAACCGTAAAAGCCACTGCAGCGACGGTTTCCTTTTTAAGTGTCGCGCGCATGAATCGCAGCCTTTTCAAATCGTCGCGTCGCTTGTCAGAGCTTTACGGATACTCGGTGTCGCGAGTTCATTAATGAACTTCAAATGCGTAGGCGGGTTGCGTTAATTTATATGCACGCGAAGAAAAGACAGTTAAACGTGACAGTAGCCGACGACGGGACAGTTTAGATGTCCATTAAGTCGTTTGGGTTATAGTATTTGTGAGTATGTCACACGAAACACTTGTATACACAACGAATTGTAGAGGGCAAAAGTAAACAGTCTGGGGGGAATTCAAGAGTATTGCTCCATGAGCGCATATTCATCGAATAAAATCAAATAGTACATTAATAAGAATTGTTTGCTGTACACAAAATGTACTGCTCAGGCATTGAAACATTACTTCGCTTCCTTACGGAAATAATCCTTTAGAAAATTGGATAAAAATTCCTTTTTATTTAATACGTGATTAATAAATCACTTTTTGGCCTTTTTAATCGCCAGTGATTTGACATTATGCGATTGACGTCACGTATCTAGCGTATGATAAAAACTTTAATAGTTCAGTTTTTGATTACATTGGCCATTACTCGAAGAAATTGCTCGATATCATAAATAAGATTTGATTTTTACGCCTCAGAATTTATTCTTTTGAATATAATGCTTCAGCATATTATAATTCTATGGCTTATATGAATAAAACTATTTTTGCAGACATGAAAGAAACATCAAATTCCTATTAATATTGAACTAAATAATTGATGTTTCATAGATTTCTCGCAAATCTGCCTAACAATTAGATCTTCAATCTTATCAAATACAAATTTTAATACTTTTGCATGATGTTGATGTGTTATACCTTGTTGGCTGCTCTTCCTCGTGGTCTTTTTCTCCTTCATCCAGGGATACTCGGGCACATTGACGCCCGACGCATCCTGCTGGACTCCGTGCGGATCCATCATCGCGTGGTAGCCACCGGAATGATGGGCACCTGGGCTCATGGAGCTGCCGCCGGGCGAGTGCTGTCCCATGCTGCTACCCGTGGCCGTTGCGTCGGCGCTCATCATGAAGTCGGCCATCGACGGCTGGCCAGCACCGATGCCACCGACGAAACCAGCCGCGGTCTCTGCTGCGGCGGCGGCTGCGGCCGCGGCCTCCATGGCTGCCGCGGTGGTCCCGGGCAGAGCCGTCCCGGCCACGGAGGCCAGCCAGAAGCCCGTCGAGGCTGCGCCGCCGCCGCCGGTAGCGTCGGGCGAGGTCTGCTGCAGCTGCTGCAGGGCCGACGCGGCGGACGGCGACGGCGAGCGGGCCTTGAGGGTCACCTCGGCGTGATGGTAGCCGCCGACGCCGCCGCCGCTGGCCGCGACGACGACTTGCGACGACTGCTGCTGCGACTGCTGCTGGGCCACCGAGCCGAGGCCTGGCGCGCCGCCTCCCGCGCTCGGGTCGAAATTCTGCAGGTGATGGTGGCTCGCCTCGTACAGGTGATGGGGCGCGGCGTAGCTGCTCACGTCGAGCGGTCCCTTGGCGGTGCCACGCATCAATGTGTGTACCAGTGCCTCTGGAATCGTTGAAAATGTTCTGTCGACAATTTTGCGCGCAACCAACTCACAATGACGATTGTCCGTGGGCGCGATTTTTGTAACCCGATTCAAATTGGGAGCGATGACATAATTTAGAAAATCGGACTTATATCTGGGAAACTCGATGCAGCTTTCCAACACTTTGAGCTTGCGATCGTGAGTCTTTTTAGAAAACTGAGTTAGAACAGCGACATAGTTTGATGCACGATCACTGTCATGTACACGATCACCTCGACTTCTGAAGTTTTAATAATCACAATTATAAAAATTTACCCACACTGCATGAGCTCTACCTTTTGTTTGACGTTGTATTTAAAATCGAATTATTAGACGCACTTGTAATGGACTATCTTTAATATTGCACACCGTTGGCGCACCAACACGTTTTTATATATGGCCTGGCAGTCGTATCTCTCCTCATCGAACCGCACTGAAGCGAATACTATATTCTATACTCGAGCAGCGCACACTAGTTTATTGGGCGGAAACAGCGCGATCGAATGGAAAAAATCGACATGGAGCACACATATCGCGATAACGCGCACTGCACATTCTTTTGTTCGAGCGTCGGCGAGTCGAGAGCACTATCGATTGGCGAACGACCTAGGTAGGCATGGAAATAACGAAGCATCTTCGAGCACGACGACAACAACAACGACGACGAGGAGGAAACGCGCTGCCCCGAGTTAGTAGCTGCTGTCGCTGCGTTAACTCTGGCATGTCTTTTACTTCTGCTGTCTGGTTGCAGCAGCAGTCGTCGTCGTGTACACGACGCACACACACGCCTCGTCGAGTACACACATTTTCACTGTGTGTGTGTGTGTGTGCTGTGGGTTGCACGATATAAACGCGGCTCGCTGCTTTACGCTTGCGTGCACATTCACGCATACATGTGACGACACACGCGCGCACACACACTCTCGTACACACGGACACACACAGAGACAGGCAAGTGGCAGCAGCAGCAGCAGCAGTACGTCGGCTGCGAAACGTGCGTGCCGAGGAACAGAGACCGAGGCTGCTCGGACGCTCGCAAAACGCGCCAGAGCTCCGAAAGGAGAACCAATGGGCGTCCGGTATCAGGGTACGGCCCTCCCGACGTAGGCGGTCTCGCGCGTACTCCCAGAACCAAAAGAGGAGAGACGGAGAGAGAGCGAGGGAAAGAGAGAGAGGACTCGACGCTGCTGCTGTATATATATATTATACGAGCATATACTATCGTATGTAGGTAGACCCAGTCGCGGAGCGCGAGCCAAAGAAGCAGGGAGTATACGCGTCCTCTCGCGAAGGCTGCATTCGCGCGACTATACATACGAATAGCCGCCAAGTGTGCGCGATCTCTCGGAGAGGCAACGGTGTGTGGGCGGGACGATGCGCGGCGCAGACTTTTGCGCTCCGGCTCCTCGACGCTGCCCATGTTGCTGCACACACATACGCTTACTGTGAATATACACACAGGCAGACGCTCTCTGTACGGTGCACGCAGGCAGTTCGTCGGCTCGTTCGAGACTACGACTATATAGTGGGGTTTCAATGCCGAGCCGACGAATTTCGCGCTGTCACGTGCCTGGCCAGCAGCACCAACAGCGGACCACGAGGTTATTCGTCTCCTGCAAATATGATTCTTACTTTGGATATTATTCCTGGTCAATGTGGCTGAAATTTATCGGCCGATTTCATAGCTACTTTACGAATGATTCGATTGGTGGGAGAAAAAATTTTCAAACAAATTTATTTTTCACACGTAAGAAAAATTCGTTGTATCGTATTTTGATATTCTAATCGGTCAAAAGGCAGAATGACTCGCGTCGGAGCTCTGACTACATAACATTGTGGTCAGTCAAGAACAACGTAAATTTGAAAGTGTCTTTGATGCTTACTATCGGTCAAATGCTTTCTTCACAAAATGTAATCCTATAATCGTGTGAAATTAACAAAGAATCGTGACACATTATTTTCTGATAAAATTTTCATTGCAAGTGTTATGTCATCAAGGTTCATTGAACTCTAGAAATTATTGGATTTATATCAGATAAAAATTGATACCACGCTGTCATTATAATTAGAAAAAAATTGAAACTCTGATTTCTCAAGATAACGACGATTATGCACCTCATAACATGGAAATTTCGAATATTTATTCACAAATCTTTACACGCTTCATTTTCATTTTACATAAAAATACCCAACAGACGATATTTAAAGAGCATCAGTTTCTAATAAAACAGTGCAGGTGATAACATATAGAAGCGCATCCTTTTTGTCTAGATTTATATATTTATATATACGCGCATCCTATATCGCGTGTGTGTGTGCATGTGCGTGTGTGCGTGTGTAACGGTTGCAAGAGTTCAGAGTGCGGCACCGGCTGCAGCATTCTTATGGATTGACAGTGCCACGCGATATTATGTACGCTGCAAAAGATGGGCTAAACGCTCGCCGATGACAGATTACTCTGCGATCCGCTTTGTGGCGATGTTCTCATTTGGACAGGCGATTTGATTGAAAAGTTCATCCTGCGTGCGCTCCTAATATTTCTATAGATATATGTGCTCGGTCACATGCGCTGCTTGCGGAGACCGAGTCGGAGCTCCGAAATGTGTGGCATAAATTTGCAACGCTTTTTTCGGTGAACTATATATGCGATATTTCATACGAGCCGAGCTTGCGAATGAACGAAGATTTGTATACGTGCCGTTAACGAATAAAGTTGGGAAAATTGTTACGTATTAGATGACTTTACTCAACTTCTCTGATATTTGTCAAGGCAATGATAGCGAGCCGAATATTCGCACTTGACGCAATATCCGAGGCACGGCCCTCTCGGCGCAAAGAAATTCTGCAGATTCATTGCGAATCGTTAACAGCTCGATATCGTGCGGTAAGGTCCGCAGATAGTATTTAACGTCGCTAAAATTGGTCGAGCAGCTTAAACTGCAACGTGTGTCGAAGAGTTGTGCAATAAACAATTTCAGGGAAAAATTTTTGGCGGAAAAGGGGCAACGCATGCATATATATTCGATCTATCAATAGGTAACCGAGAGTAGCAGCAGCAGCAGCGCTTAGGTATATGTATATGCGAAAGGGAGTAGGAGCTCGCGAGCGGGCGAACGGGCGGGCAAAGTGTCGCACATCTGCCGCCAAAAACGAGAGAGAGAGAGAGAGAGAGAGAGAGAGCGAGCGAGAGCTTTAACTATACATTACAGACACACGATATGTCAAAGTCCTATACTTCATATCGGCTGAGCCATTTATTAAAAGTTTCATCGTGAGCACGCGCGCGCTCACCTCCGCATATATACGTATATTTATACACTGTGCGCCTTCTATATACATCTAAACAGATGTCGTTATACTTTTTCTTTGCAGACATCTCGCAAGGTATATTATGTATGTGCCGCGCGCGCACGATAAGAAGAATTTCGCTGCGCCAAAAACAGAATAAAGTGCGCAATTCGATATATAAGTTTTACTTCGTGAAAGGTAAGCGAAGGTCCGACCAATTGTAATCGTGGCGTTCGCTCTACCGCGCTTGCATGGGTTTGAACATCTCATTTGTTCCGCAAAGTATGCATCCGAGCTTCTAGGCCATTTGAGGTAATACAAGGTTTTTCAATTTTTTTCATGTTAATACGTCTTTGCATACAACCCAAGCCCCAGTGTAAATAGTACAGAGCATTTGGCACGGGTATACGAGAGTTGCCTCGATATTCCTTAATGTACGGAAAAACTCGATATGGATACTGTTACGATCGACCCACTTTGCGTCGAGTTGCGCTTGCAGACGATACGGTACAAGTGTTGCTTTTGCGAGGCATCGAATTTTCCTTCGAGCAATGATTGGAGATATCTGAGTGTCGATGACGACAATATGCATGCACGAGATTTTTTTCAAAAACAGAAGAATACCTCGTCTCCGAATATGATTATTGTTGAAAAATTACGAGAGCAAGTGTATTTCATAAACTTGCAATTTATTTTACCACCGGTAAAATTTGTAGGATAAACAGCACAGATGTGTTCTTATGCTTATAAGTTTTATATTGACTATTGCAGGTGTACAAATTTGTTCAAAAATATTTCCTTAGAAACAGGACTACCACAACAGGAAAATAAGCATCTGTTTCTCTCGCCCAAGGTAAAACTACTGAACAATTAATGTTCAGTCAATTTTATTCAAAACCTCATTACAAAGTATATTTAACGTTTATTTTTACGATTTACCGACAAACAGCATTCATTATGAGTTAATACGTAGATCGCATTTCTAAATATACAGCATGACAAATATCGTCGCAGTGCAAAACCAGTATATGTACCTCGCGTTTGTTTGTCTTATGGACTTGCTTCGAGTGTGTATGCGCGGATCAATGTTCAACGTGCGCACATTTATATAGACTGCGGAGCAGACAGTCTCACGGCTGTATGAGCCTAAGTTGAGCGTGCACTTTGTACATACTTCTGAACAGAGTTAAGGAGGGCGCAAATTTCCTTCCCAACCCCATTACGAGACTTTCTTTTATCCCGGTGCGTACGTAGCGCGCGCGCTTAGCCTCGAACTTTATATACACGAGCTG